AATTCTCTTCAGGGGGAAAATCCTCTCGCCACGGGGTTGGTGGCTGATGGTGGTGATGGAAAGGGGTGGAACAAATTGGAAGGGCTTGAGGCCGTGGCAGTGTCGGGAATGAGTTGGGATATTTACTCCTGGTTCTGGTTCTCTCAGCCTGCCACCCTTCCCAAACCCCTCAAAGCTCATCAGGACCCAAAACAACCCCATGAGCCTGGAGGAACATCCTGGCAGCGTGGGGAGAATCAAGCTCAGACTGAATTTCCCAAGAGCAGAGAGTGACCGTGGATTGCTCCCTGATGCCTCTTTTGGGGACACTCACCTGGACTTGCAGGTGCAAAACCCCCCCAGCTGCATCCCCAAACCTGGCCGTGGCCAGAGAAACTATTTAACATCAGCAGTGTTAATTTTGTTGATTAAATCTCTGCAGCATTAAGCTATTTCCCCCTGGACTGTCTGCAAGCCTCGCTTAAGATCGGAAGTGAAAAGCACGGGGTAAATGCAAGTCATGATTATTTAATTGGATCGATTTCTATTTTGCATTTTTAATGGCCATTCAGTCCTGTCCATTAATCAGCCAGACTCTGCCCCAGCACTCTCCATTCCAGCAAACCCACAGGGATGGGCGCTGTGTCCATCTGGGCTGGCCCAGAGCCACCTCAGCACCCTTGGAGGAGCAGGAATCAAACAGGGATTAAAAACCACCATGCTGAGGAAGGAAACCATCACAGGGGCTCTGCTTCAAGGGTAAATCTCAGATGGCATCGATCTGAAATTCTCTTTGTCATTCTGGGGAGGGGAAAAAGCTTTAAAAAATACCAACCACCAAATCTGACGCCATCCTGGGTGCAATTAGCCCAGCCTTAATCTGTCAGAGCTGTGAGATCATACAGGTTGCATGAATGCTAATAAGCATTTGATATTTGTACAAGCTTTCTGGGGATGAATAATTCAATTGACTTCATCCATTAAATTTCCCCTATTAAGTTTTCAAACCATGGCTGGGTTTTAATGGCTGGGGCCACCTCATCCTCCAGACGAGGGGCCTTAATTAGGAATTTTAGCACACCCTGACAGAGCCACAGGAGCTGAAATCTCTGTGGCTCTTTTGGGTTTTGAGCAGCTCATGTCTCTCTGCTGGAACCCTGCTGAGCCCTGGAATAACTCCAGCTCACACCAGGTGGGTGCTCCATCCTCTTCCAGCATTGTGGCTGCTTCAGCCCTTCCCACGGGGTCAGCCCCTCTCTGGGGGTTGGGAAGGAGCTGAGGGGCTGCTTGGGATGGGGGATGTGCAGTGGCACTGATGCACCCCCTGGATTTTGGCACCACTCAATGATTCTGTGGGTCCCTTCCAACTCAGGACGTTCTATAATTCCACGATTCCCTGGCATTCACTGATGCAGAGATGTCACCAGGAGTGTCCCATGCCCAGCTTGGGCTGCTCCTCATGCCAGGACCCTTCACCTGTGTCCCTCACTTGTAGGTCAGCCTTGGGTTGGTTTTTTTTTTCCAGCTGTGGATGTTGGGCTATCCAGCGAAAAATAAATCTGTTCACAATGAAAGGGAGAAAATGCCAACGACCCTCATTAAGTCACACCACAGGGAAGATCCAGATTAATGATTTGAATATTTGATTGAAGTCCCCTGGAGCAGCTTCTTCTCATTCTGCTTTGCCCCACGTGGAGGCACAAGCTGCTGAGGGCCCGTGGCCATGTCTGCAGGGTCTGTTGGATGCATGGAAAACAGAGTTCCCACCTGAGTTATTCCCAAAAAATGCAGTCACCACAGGACACAAGCAGGAGGGCTCCATGCCTGGCAAGAGAAGGAGTTTGTTTACCCTCCCCTCTTCTCCCTGCTTTTATTCCTTATGTCCCTATCAAATCCAACTGTCCCTCTGGGCACCGTCTCCCCGGGTCTTCCTCACCCCCTCCCCTCCCTGCCTCTGTGTCAATTTATTCTGACTGGCTCATTAATTCATTTTGCTCGTTAACCAAAAGAAATCTCACCAATGATAACGAGTTCCAATACAAATTAATTCTTCAGGGAAGACCAGGCACTTCACAGCTCCTTGGCAGCGACAGTGCCCAGCAGGGCCCCTGGCATGGGGCTGGCAGCCACACGGACACAGGGATCGTCCCTGGAAGTGTCCAAGGACAGGCTGGACAGCAAGCTGGGATAGTGGAAGGTGTCCCTGCCTGTGCCAGGGGGTGGAATTGGATCCACCAAACAACACAAATTACACACAACCTTTCCAACATAAATCATTCTGGGATTCAGCCACGGAACAAAAAACCCACCTGGCTTCACTCAGCTGCCTTCCCACCACCAGGTAAGTATATTCAGCAGGAATTACAGCAGGAATTACAGCAGGAATATTCCCTTGTGTGTGCTGCCTTGAGATCCCACCCATTCCCTGTTGGATTTGAGCAGCAGGAGCAAAAGGCAGGGAAGACAAAGGGCAGGGAAGCTCCCTGCAGCCTCCTGGCAGGCAGGGATGAGTCAACGCTGTGCAAACAACTCTAAAAATACAAAAGCTTTATTGCAGATTAATGACACCATCAAATGTACTTCACTGGCCATTTACCAGGTGTTGATCATAAATATTTGGGATTCGAAATAAACTTTTGTGCTGTGCCACTGTGGAGTTGTTTGTGTGCCTCCCACCCTCCCTGGATCAGCCCTGGCGCTGCTGTGATGGGGCTCGAGCAGGTAAGGCAGACAAAGGAGCTGCTCCCGCTCCCTCCCTGCAGCACAGGGTGTCTTTCCACTCTGCCTGCCCTGCCCAGGGCTCATCCAGAGGCAATTCCAGGGAAAACCCAGGGAAAGGGCTCACCACAACTCTCCAGCCTCCCTGGAGCCGGAGCCAGGCAGCCTGGGCAGGTCACAGTGCCTGGGTTGGATTCAGAAGCTCCCAGTGCAGAGCTCCCAGCAATTTGGATTTTTTTTTTTTTTTCATTTTTCCAGCCCTTGGCTCTTGCTGGGAATGAAGCAAACATAATTCCCTCAGCTGTTCCACTCCGTGCCTCCAGCACAGAGGTCAGTGCTGCAGGAACACTGGGAATGGCTCTCCAGGAGCTGGGATCCAACCTGGAAGAGGTGACAAGTCACTGATCAGCAGGAGCGTGTCCTTCCTCCCTGAGAGGATGACTGTGGCTCCAAACACCCCAGGGAGGCTTCCTGTGAAAATCACAGGATCAGGACAAGTCCTGGAGAAGAGGAGAATGTTTTAAACAGCCAGGAGAAACAGCAGCATCGCTAAGTAACACCCATGGGGTCACCGCCATCCACAAACCTTCATCACGCTTGGAAATCAAACTCTCTGATGGAGCATTAATTAAGTTTTCCAACAGGATAAAACCACTTCCTTGCTTGGGATTTCACTCTGCTCACAAAGATTAAAAATACAGCTAATTAAAACAAGGCTGGCATGCAAAGAAGGGAAGAATAAAAAGTCTTGCTACGGCTGGGAGGGGACAGAGTCCTTCCAGATGCAGGTACAGATGACTCACGGCTGCTGAATAACCCCCCTGCTGTCTCTCTGCCATGGGGAAGGTCTCCTATTGCTGGGAGAACTCCTCCAGCAGCTGTATATCACCTGCCAGGCAACAAAAATGCCTTGAAATTGGCTCCAAGGTAGCTGGTAGCCAAGTGCAGTGTTAATTAAACAGCCTCACTAGCTGCTCCAGACAGCTGCTCCAGAACTACTCTACTTCCCCCCCACCCCTGATCATTTTCAGTTCAAATGAATTATTTTCCCTGAAGCATTTCTGAAGGGCTGTGGAGAAAGGATAACATTTCAGGCATTCCCACCCATCCCTCCTGCTTCCCTGTCCCATTCTTCTCTTGGCCAAATTTGTTTGGTCTGGAAAACTGAGTTGAAATAGGTATTGACAGAGAACACATCTACTGAAATGTGGAAGGGCTCCCTCCACTCCTCCCACACTTCCCCAGAGGGTCTGGCAGCAATGAACCACCCCAAAAATTCCTCATGGAGAGGGGAAGGTGGCCTGGGATGTGGAGAGGAGGAGGAGGATGAACCACAGCCAGGCTGGGCAGCCTCCATGGCCCTGACGTGTGCGTGTGGGCAGCAAATTCCCTGGCACAACCACGGTCCTGATGGGCCAGCACCGTGTCACCAGTCCAGAACTGTCACAGCATCGGGCCAGCCCCGTCCTGCCACCCTCAGGCCATGGTCACCATCAGAACAAGCCACCATCACCACATCTCAGCGCGTGCAGCTCTTGCAAAGCCCCAGCACGTCCATCCTCCTTATTTACACACCCAACTCCTCCTTCCCTTTTTTAATTAGAGCGGGATAATTAACGCACCGCGGTGCTGTTCACAGCCGGCGGTGTGAGGGCATTTCCCCCGCCCTCCGTGGCTCAAAGCCGCGCTGCTGAGGGCGCGGCGGGCCCCTCGCCTCACGGCTGGGGCTGAGCCTCCCGAGAGCTCAAAATCCACCATTTCCCTCCTTCTCCCTGCCAACACCTCCTGCTCTGGCCCTTGCCCGGCAGCATCATCTAGTGGCCATGGTCTCCACGCATGGAATTGTAGGATCGGGAATATCCCGAGCTGGATCATCCCAGGCGATGCTGGCATCCCGTCCGGCCCCAACCACCCCAAACCCCCGCCCTGTGCACCCCTCAGACAGCTGTCCCTGAAGTTCTGCAGCTCTGGGGCCGTGCCCATCCCCTGGGCAGGCCGAATCACCTGTTGGGGTTGCTTTAGGATGAACTTAAATAATAATAATAATAATAAATAAAGTTCTGGACACGTGGCGGTGCGAGGATAACGGGGCAGCGCTGGGCGGGCTCAGCGGCTGAGGGGAGCGGGTAGGATCCGCCCGGGGACACCCGTGCCGTGGGTTCCAGAGGTGGGGTGGCCGTGTTTTGGGGCGATTTTTGCGTGATTTTGGGACGATTTTGCGGATCGGGAGCCCCGCGAAGAGAAGCGAAGCGCGGCGCCGGGGAAGTTTGGTCGCTGCGCCGCGCCGTCCGTCGCCACGGCAACCGGCGTGCCCGCCATGGCGGCGCCCAGCGTGTTCCTGCTGGCCGTGAGCGGCGAGATCGAGAGCGGGGAGGTGCGGGAGGGCCGGGGACACCGCGGGAAACACAGCGGGACAGCACGGAGGGGTGGGGGGATCGCCCTGGCCCGGTCTCGGTCTCGGTGCTGCGTCCGCCCGCGCGGCATGAGACTCTGCCCCCCCTGATCCTGGCCGGCCTCAGCCCCAAACCCAAACCATCCCCAAACCTGCACACCCTGACCCCAAACCCAAACCATCCTCATCCCGCCTCAGCCCCAAACCCAAACCATCCTCATCCCGCCCAACCCTGCACACCCTCAGCGCCCCCATAACCCTGCTTGGCTTCATCCCCCTTAAGCCATGACTGTCTTAACTCCTCCCAAACCCATCCCAGCCTCGGTCCCCAAACCCATCCCAGCCTCATCCCCCAAACCCATCCCAGCCTCGGTCCCCAAACCCATCCCAGCCTCAGCCCCCCAAACCCATCCCAGCCCCGCCCCCC